GCCTAGTTTGGGCCTATGTAGGTTCCCCAGCTGTCAGTCCGCAGTCAGTCAACTCCCACAAGATTAACTTGGGTCGGCTGATTCTGTGGGTATCCCCTTCATGGTCTTGACTCCTCTGCTCCTTCCTCTTTACAACTGGACTCCAGGTGTTTGATCCAGTGCTTAGCTGTGTTTCTCTGCATCTGCTTCCGTCAGTTACTGTGTGAAGGATCTATGATGTCAATTAAGGTAGTCATCAATCTGATCACAGGGGAAGGGCAGTTCCGGCACCCTCTCTGCTATTGCTTAGGGTCTTAGTTGGAGACATTCTTGTAGACTGCTGGGAATTTCCCTAGTGCCAGGTTTCTCGCTCATCCCATAATGGCTCTCTCTCTCTATCTCTTTCCTTGCTCTCTCTCTTCTTCCTACCCCCAACTCAACCTTCCCAATCCCTCATATTCTCCTCCCCCCATTCACTTCACCCCTTCTCATTCCCTTTCCACCCCCCCTCCATGCTTCCAATTTACTCAGGGGATCTTGTCTATTTCCCTTCCTAGGGAGATCCAGCCTCATGGAATTCTTGGGAAGAGCAAATTAACTGATGTTGAGTAATTAAAACATAGTAAGAGTTCTGTACTTGCATTGAAAGGAAGTTCAGAGGCATCATGTGGATTGAGTGGGAGGGATGTGGGCCAAACACATAAGAAAATGTATGCTGTGTCCTCTCTCCATTTCAATGCACGTGCGCCCCCCACACACACGGGAGGGGGGATGCTGAGAAGGAGAGGGGGGTGGGAGATGAAATATGAGGAAGGGATAAACACTGTAGCCGGAATGGGGGCATCCAGGGAGTGTGAGCACCTCCATAACCAATTGAGAATGTGGTGTGTCTGAGAACTGACTTCTTGTGACAGAGCGGGCCTGCTCTGGGAACCCCAGCCCAGCCTCCTTTTACAATGCAGCTTCCTGAGGCTAGGGATGAATGGTCTTCAAGAGGGTCCACATCTTTGTTCTAGTTCATCAGAGCCCAGGGACATGCAATGTCCTGCTACTTTTGCTTGTCTGGTTAGTATTGGTTCGAGTCAGTGGTTTTAATGGAAGGTGTTGGGTTCTTTTGACTCCTCCTGCCCTGTTAAACCGTTTAGATTGTTTCTGTGTGCACCAGGCACAGGGAGCTAAACTGGAGCAGTTGAACTAGACAGATGTGTGTATGTGTGTGTGGGGGGGGGGAGTTGGGAGAATAAAATAGTAGAGATGAGTCTTGTACACCCGTTAGAACCGTTGCTCTGTGGCCTGGAACACACTCATGAATGTGTGTGGAGCGAAACCGTGAGCCCCTGCTGTGCCAGTGACCCCTTTATAACTCAGCCCCTGTATCCCAAGGCTTTTCACTTTCTCACCCCCTCTCTTCTATTCCGCCCACTCCCAACAGGATACCAGACTTGAAATAGAACCTCAGTAAACCCATTGTAGAATTAGAGGGCGTGGCACCCAGTAGCCAGAGGGAGTGACATCATTATCTGTACTTCACCGCGGGAATGCTGCTGTGTCCTGACTACTCTATCCGTTAGGAAATCAAAAGGACACAGCCACAGCAACTATCCAGGTGGCATTAGCCATTCTTCTTATGTTCACAGCTCTTAGTTTGATCATCTGTGGAAAAAAGAAGGAGGAGGAGGCCTGAAACCAGGTGATTCCTTTCTAGGCCTACATCAGCCTTGACACCATGCTCAGAGCTGGGACCTGTGGGACCGACTTGGATTAAACTGCATCCTTAGGTGCCCTATACCTGGAAAAATTGCCTCAATGCAAGTCAGGTTTACAAAAAAATAATAAAATAAAAATCAAGAGTAAAAACGAAACAAAACAGACACCGCCGAGAGCACACCTTGACACCACAGGCCTTAGCCGTGCACACCTGCTTAGACTAATACAGAACTGTAGAATTGGAGAAACAGTTTGCCTCTCCAAACCTCGGTGTAACCAACTCTAAAATGGGGATGACAATGGCGCCTACCCTTTGGGCTGTGGTTAGCACACTCACCTGGTCTGCACAAGGCCTCGAGTTCCATCCCCAGGGTTGGCAATGCACCTGGCCGAGGACTTGGCTGTGGTAATTATCCAGGTTATGCTCTGGAAGCTGCAAAAAGCCTTTCGCCACTCAACTGCAGATTGGCTCCTGCTCCCTCGCTTGTCTGTCACAGTTTTCCCATCATCAGGGCTCTGAACAGGCAAGGGTATCTGAGATTGCTTCTATTTTTATCTCCCCTTTCAGGTTTTTATCCCGAATCCCGCTATTGTTGTGCTGTAATGGCTCGTTGGTGGAAAGCGCCTCTTTAACACTCTTCTTAGGAAATAAATAACGCGTTTTCCCGCTAGTTGAGATCAGAAAACCCTCTGAGTCAGCGGTCATAGCCGTCATCGGAGAGAGATGCTGTGGTCTGAGTCTGCTGAGAACTGAACTCACGCAGACTCCCCCTCTTCAAAATGTTTCTCCTGTCACCAATGCCCTACTGAGGAAGCTGGCTCCGGGCCAAGGGAGGTAGGCCATGGCCTCGCAGTGAAATAAACCTGGGCTCAAAAGACTTAGTACTTGCCCCAAGAAGCGAACAATTAGATAACTAGAAAAAGATGTGTTTTAAAGACATCTTTTAATCTAAAGTCAAGTTCCTTCCCCACTATTTCTCGATGCAAAGATGATAAATGCTTAGTAATGCCCAGGAGTAGTGCCATACAGCAGGGGTGCTCAGTAGGACCTTGAAGGCAAACAAGATGACCACACAGACCAGAGTGCCACAGAGTCCTGGGGTCCAGAAAGTAGCCAGGTTCAGGCCTGAGGGATAAGGAACAGAAATGCCACAGGGCAACAGAAAGGAGGGAAGTGGGCCTCCTGGATCAATGGGCAAGTTGTGCATGGCAGGCTCAGGGCTTGGATTTGAACATACATCATAACATGTACGTGGGCCCCAGGAAGACAGACTTTGGGGACAGGCTTCAGTTCTCATGTTTGCTTCCCACTACAGCTTGTTCTTGCTGCTGGTGGTGACACATAGCCCCTCTGTGGACGGGGCTCAGCGCTGGCCTGTTTAGCAGTATTTGAGCTTGGTGGTTATGGACTGCAAGTCTTCTGAGTTTAGGAAGTCTGACCATTCATGCATAGTTTTCTGCAGCCGTGATGCCAATGCACCTCCAGCAAGATATCTTAAAGCAAGGGGTTTGCTCTCTGCCAGGCAGGATGCCCAAAAGTCTAAACGAAGCAAGAGCAGGGCCATGTCCTCTTCAAGGCCACCTGGCTTGTGACTGCAGTCCCCCTCTCCGCTGGTCTCCTCTGGGTGTGCCACTGCTTCCGTCTATGTAAGGACACCGAGCGCTGGATTTTGGGCTGGCCTAAGGAATCTAGGCTGATCTCATCTCAAGAGCCACGCTGTGACTTCTGCCCAGACTCTCTGTAAATGAGGACATAGCCCAGACTGTAGGGCTAGGGAGCGGACTTACCCTTGTAGGCACCACTCCGTTCACTACTGCATGCTCTCTGAGAGCATAGTACAGAAAAAGGGAGACAGAGGACTCACCTGCCGAAGGGAGGACACCATAGTGGGATTGTCTGGAGAAATGCATAGTTTGCTGCCCCTCTACTGTCTCATATTAAGCGCATTCTTGCGTGTCCCGCGGAATGAGTGCTGTGCTTGCCTTCTACATTACCTGATAGTTCTCAGAAGCATCACAAGGGTACAACAAAGGATTCTTCCTACTCTAGTTTTCAAACTGGGACCCAGGACATCTGTGGTGAGTCTCGCCCACCTTCCAGTTCTCTGTGCCCCACCATCTTGTCTACATTAACACTGTCCTTGTTGCCCTGACTCTCACTCTCTGGCTGGTATTCCTCTTCAATGCAAACCGGTGCTTTGGGCAGCAGGGCCTTGCTGTCTGTGTGGCAGATGACCTAGTGGCAGGTAGGAAGGGAAGAAGGACTGTGCTGGACACCTACTTGGCAAGGGACACCAACTGGAAAGCTAGGAGGTTAAGAACCTGGGGTTTGGGACTGGAGGGATGTCTCGGGGATTCAGGGCACTGACTGCTCTTCCAGAGAACTTACAACCAATTCCATTTGCATACATTCAACTGAAATACACACACACACACACACACACACACACACACACACACCTTAAAGAAAAGAGCCTCAGATTTCAGAACTATGCTGCCTACCTTGGAGTCCAGCTATAACAGTGTTAACTGTCTCGTAGGGTTTTTAACTGAAGAATAATATCCACATATGTTATTCACTTCTGAAAATACAAGACAAAGCCCACGCTGACTTCTGTACCTGTGTTGCTGAATCTTTCGCGTGGAAGCCTGTATAATATCCTGATCCCTAGCAAGAGCAGGGAACCAGACAGGTCTGGAGATACAGGCCTGCAGTCCCAGTGACTTGGTAGGCTGAGGCAGGAAGATCGCAGGTTCAGGATACAACTGGGCTACAGAGAGCTCGAGGCCAGCCTGGAAAACTTAATGAGACTCTTACTCAGAATTAAAAGAGAAAAAGAAAAGGTCGCTGTGAGTGGGTGTGCTGGGGATGTAGCTCAGTGGTGGAGTGCTTACCTGGTACGTGTGAGGCCCCAGGTTCCATCCTTAACAGTGAAGAAAAAAATAAAGGGAAACTAAACCCAGCCATGTTGAATGTTCCCCATTGGAATTGGTTTGGGATCGCTCAATCCTTGCATGGCTGATCTTGTCAAAAGCACCCAAAGGAAGGGAAGCAATAAGGCAGCTGCCCTCCAAGACCTGGGGTGCTGACACCACAAATGGGGGTGTTGTGTGCACTAGAGTTTTCCAATAGGAGGAGATGACCACGCAGGACTATAAGATCCTCGCCACACGGGGACACTCACGGCCTCCTGTCTTCTTCCACAGGCCGATGCTGCTACCAGTTTCCTGAGGGCGGCACGCTCGGGAAACCTGGACAAGGCTCTGGATCACCTGCGCAATGGAGTGGACATCAACACCTGTAACCAGGTCAGTGGATGGACACAGACGGCACATCCTCTCGGGAGAGGAGTTCCTACCTGTGCCATGCCTGAGAGCTTTGGCACTTATCCTGCTGAACCCTTCCCAGAGCCCCAAAAGTCTCTGGGCATCTTCTGAGATTCACCCTGTATCCTTACTCCTTCTTAATGCCTTCCAGCCTTGGTCCCATAGAAAGGCCGCCCTGCTCTTTCAGTGGGACCCAGGCTCAGGCCCGGCCCATGCAGCCTCTCCCTTAGAAGATGCTGTGGATTCTGCTGCTGCCATAGACATGACCTTTGAAAATGAGCATAGGAGGAGCCCTAGGCCAATGCTGGAGCAATGGAGTAGGATCCCCTTTGCCCATGAGTAGTGCTTGGGGTCCTGAGCATCTGGAAGAGAAACAAGTCGTGTGGGTGACAAACCTCTGATTTCACCCTCTGTGAATTGATCATTTCGGGGACCTCCCAGAAGTGGAACCCATAGTATTTGTCCTTGGGGACTCGCCTCTTCTCTTTAGCACAGTGTCCTCCCATCTGGTGTGATAGAGGCTTGCTTGGTATCCCCAGAAACAACAACAAGCCCTCAGAATGCAAGTGGCCACTGTGTGCCCTCAATCTTCATGTCTCTGCGCCTCTAGGCTTGGCTGAAACTATAGACTATAACCTTCTCCTTCCTGGTGCCAAAATCCCGTTAGGACTGAGTTGGGCTTGTGCTGGCTTCAGTCCACAGCTGAAAGAGCAAGGAGGGTAAGGCGGATGGTGGGTTAGGATGGTTGCGATTCTGTCCATGGCAGTGAACTTGGGTGGTGGTGGTAAGTGTGGGGCCTGGGCTTGAGTTGGCAGACTGGCTGAGGAAAAGAATGCTGTCATCTCCCACGCAGAAAGACCCACAGCCATGTACACACAGACTTCAAAACGCTCAGGGGTTGAGCTAGGTCTCATGTGGAGGAAGGAGAGACTGAGCTGAAGTCAAGAGTGCTGACTACATTGCTTTGGACAAGGAAACAGGAGTATGGCCCGGGAACAAGGAGAAAGTCTTGATTGATGAGTCAGAGAGAGAAACTGGTCATCATTCATCCCACAACCCAGGAGCATCTCTCTGGACTGAGTGGGCAGCCCCAAACCCCACATGTCCCCATGGCTCTCTGTGTCCTAGCTTCTGTGCAACTTCCAGGCGAGTCAGAACCTTCCAAGGCCTTCCAAGGACTAATCCTCCAGTCTCAAAAGAACCTCCGAGCTGAAATGGGGCAGCTGAGTGACAGAGGCTGGGCCTGGTTCGCTGTGGCAGCAGAGGGTTGGGGGCATCATGGAGTGACTTCATCTCCTATGGTGGCAGCTGCTATCCCTGGCTCTCCATCTTTATCTGTCTTATTCCATGTCAGAATATGAAAGCAAGATGCAGGTGGGAATTATTGGTGCTTTGTCGACGCCCTTTCTCTTGGGCTCAGCCCCTGACAGGGCAGGACCTGTGTGCTGATGTGGAAGGAGTCCCGTGTTAGGGTTCAGACCCCAGACCTGGCTGTCACTAACCCCTTCCTTTCAAGGCAGACACTGTCTGCCACACCAAGGAAATGAAAGGGGTCAGGGGATAAGATAACCCCCTGCAGGGCAGAGCCCACTGTCTGTGACGTAGGCTTGCTGTTTGCAGTTGCACACAGGCTTTGGTCCTCTGGTCAGGGGCTAGGAATCCTCCGAGGTGGCGGGCCTGTGATGGCGGTAGAACAGCAAGGCTCACTTCCTGTGAACACACCTTCTGAAAAAGCTCTCCGTAGACAGGCGCCAGAGGTGTCTGCCAAAAGAGGGAAATTCCTCTAGGTCACGTACGTAGACCGAGCTCACTTATATAAGAGACATGGGTGCCCAGGCCAGATCTATTAGTTCTTGTCCCCTTTCTTACAGAAAAGAGGACACGCACACCAGAGTGCACACGGATCCACACACGTACCAGCATCTCCGTAATGCCGGCTTTGGTCATTTATTCCAGCATCGTTGGATCTTTAGGTTCACCCCCCCCATCCCGTGTCTTCCTGTGTGCAGGGACATAGACTAACCCTGTTCCTTTGCCCCTGAGGGCAGGGAGGGCTGACAACTGAATAATAATGCATGGCTAGGATCTAGGATTAGTGGTTCTCAACCTGTGGGCAGCAACTCCTTTGTGTGCCCAGTGACCTTTTCATGGGGGTCGCCTAAGACCCTCGGAAAGACACAGATATTTACATTATGATTCATAACAGTAGCAAAATTACAGTTATGGAGTGACAATAGAATAATTTTTTGGTTGGGGAGCCAATGTGAGGAACTGTATTAAAGGGATGTGGCATTAGGAAGGTTGAGAAGCCTTGCTCTGCTTATTCCTCTAAGATGCTCTGAGTAGATGAGTTGAGAGGAGTCTGACCTAGAGTTAGAAGTCACGGATACCTTAGGGCATCTCACCCTAAGCAAGAGATGGAGGAACTGAGAGCCAAGCTGAGGTTAATGAAGGGACAGCCAGCATGGGTCAGTGTGGGCAGTCAGGGACCCAGCTGAGGTAAAACTAGCTAGAGCTGCATCTTCCTGGTAATGAGAGCTTGACATTACACAGCTAGACAGCATCCTCCAGGGCCTGACACGTGTGTGCACGTGTGTGCATGTGTGTGCATTATGTATGTGCACCTGCCTGCTGCCCAGACTTTAACCCTAGGCTGTTGATGGGAGGGGATGGGTTTGAGGGACAGAGTGGCGAGGGTAAAAAGCTTAAAGGGGCTGATGCTAAATAAAAACTCAGAGACAGATATTGGGGTTCAACCTGAAGACCAGAAAAGCAAAGCAGCCAGCCATTGGCTCTTACCTCAACCTCAGTCCAAAATGGTGGTCCTGCCTCCAGGAATCTCAGAATGAAACTGAAACTGAGAGCTGTCTCCTCCCGTCTTACATTCCTCTCTAGTTCTGGGATTAAAGACATGCACCAATACCGCCTGGTTTCTATGGCGAGCTAGGGTGGTTACAGGGATTAAAGGTGTGTGTCACCACTGCCTGGTCTGTAAGACTGGTACGTGTGGCTCTTTTACTTTTCTGATCTTCAGGAAAGCTTCATTTATTAGAATACACATGAAAGCCACTACAGCTCACCGAGAGGGGTGGAGCCATTTCAGGACAACTGTATTAGTGCACCCACGTGGGCTGTCTCTCCTGCTTGCAGATACCATGTTAAGAATTTCGATCATGGGACTGGAGCAGTTAAGAGCATTGCCTGCTTTTCCAAAGGTTCTGCGTTCAATTCCCAGCAACCACATGGTGGCTCACAACCATCTGTAATGAGGTCTGGTGCCCTCTTCTGGCCTGCAGGCAAACACGCAGATAGAATATTGTATACATAATAAATAAATATTAATATTCATTATTAATATTAATAAATATTATTAATAATATTGATAAAAAAGAATTTTGATCTTTATACTGAGAGCAAAGGGAAATGAGCCTGGGGTCCTAGCACAGGAGTGCTGTCCTCGGAGGTGCCTTCGCAAAGAATCACAGTGGCTACTGTGCTCCATACTGAAGGTGCAGACGGAACACTAGGAGGTCCAGCCATGGGGCTGCTGCTGTGGTCCAGGAGAATATTGTTTGTTGGTCACTTGGATAAAAGTCATGGGTGAGGAGAAGAAACAGAGCCAGTGAGCCTGGATCATGAACTAGAATTGGGGGAGGGACTTCCGGAATGACCCGGGGACACCAGGTAGTCACACATCATGTGCATGGTAGAGTCACAAGTTGAGTAGTGCAGGGATTGGTGACAGTGGAGGTTGCCAGTAGCAGGGGCTTTTGAGGCTGAAACTCAGAGGGGACGGAGAGGTGACCGGAGGCAGGGTCCCACAAGTAGCTCGTTTTGGCACCGTGAGAAGGGGTATAAGACATTCAGAATACAACCTCGCTGTCTGTGGAGTTTACTGAGCAGCAGCTGTGTGCCATCTTCCCTTCGAGTTCCTACACATGCCTGATGGAATACACAGGCTGAGCTCTCTATGCTAGTAAAGGAAAGGGACAACAGGCGGGGAGTGTGCTAGTCGCCATCCTTAACTGATGGTTGATACCCAGGAGACAAAACCTGCCTTAGCATGTTCTTAAGGAGATAACTTTGGAGAGGCCTGGACCAAGAAAGGAAGCGAGAAAGGGAATAGCATCCCAGAAGAGGGGGAAACTATGAAAGGCTCCGAGGCAGGGAGCACTCATCTCATCTGGAAGCGAGGCAGGGAGCACTCATCTCATCTGGGAGCGAGGCAGGGAGCACTCATCTCATCTAGGAGCAGCAAGAAAGGCAGTGTGGCTGGGGTGGGATGTGTAGAGGTGACCATACTCCCGCCAGTCCCGGCTTCATACATCCAGCCTCAGCATCATCAAGAACCAAACGTCCTCGTGTGGAGACTGTGGTGATTGACAAGAGACTTTAGGATGAACTGATTGGCTTTTTGTACTGCCAGCTAGCCGCACGAAAAGAAGCAAGCTGGCAGAACAACCCAGGCTCTCTCCTAGAATAGTCGGGCCAACATGGTATCACTGGGGGCCATGTGCTGGATCCGAAGCAGCCAAAGGCCTTTTGGGGTGGCCCCAGCAGTGCACCTGCTACCCCAGTGCTGAAAGCTAGTGATGGCCGCGAACTCTGGAACTAGCAGCGGATAAAGCCAAGGTCTGCCCTCAAAGACTGAGACAGGAAGCCTGCCTGCTGCCTGGAGGACACAGACGAAGTGTTCTCCTGGCTGCATAGGAGCCAGAGATTTCAGTGTCCATCACTCTTGCTTTCTAAGCTGTTGTGACATGTCTAGTGGAGGCCAGTGACAGGTGACTGATCCCTGCAGACACAGAGGAGTGCAAGGGTCCCGGTGGCATGCTGGGAGGTTGGGAGGTGACAGGCAGTGAAGAAAGGTGAGGGAGCAGCCCTCCAGTCTGGGAGGCTGGCTCTCCATCATCACAGACAGCCTGCTATTGTTGTCTGTTATCTGTGATATTTGGGCTCCTGACAAGCATAGAATGGCATTA